AAAAAAAAAAATATATAAATATATATATATATATATATATAGAGAGAGAGAGAGAGAGAGAGATAACTATGAGGAACTTGAGTGATTTTTTGGTTTTTTTTGAGTCAGAGTCTCACTCTGTTACTTTTTTGAGTGTGGTGGCATGCTTACGGCCATGGCAGTCTCTACCTGCCGGGCTCAGGTGATCCTTCCACCTCAGCCTTCCAAGTAGCTGGAACCACAGGTGTGCACCACCATGTCCAGTTTGAGTGATTTTTAATTATATTCTTTTAGAAGAGATGTCTTTTAAAAAGGATACTTAGGGCCAGGAGCTGTGGCTCACACCTGTAATCCCAACACTTTGGGAGGATCTCTTGAGGCCAGGAGTTTGAGATCAGCCTGGGCAACATAGCGAAATTCCATCTTTACAGAAAATGAAAAATTAGCCAGGTGTGGCGGTGTGCACCTGTAGTCCCAGCTACTTGGAAGGTTGAGGTGGGAGGATGGCTTGAGCCTGGAAGATAGAGGCTGTAGTAAGGTATGATCACACCACTGCACTCTAGCTTGGGTGACAGAGCGAGACTCTGTCTCAAAAAAACAAAAACAAATAAAAAGAATATTTAGATTCTTAGATAGTATCCTACTATTTAATGTCAAATCTACTATAGTGCATAGACCTGGAATTTTTGAAAATAGAGTTTTCAAAAACTGACAAAAAAAGTTCCGCAACAGAACACCTGTAGTATTTTGAAATCGTATCTAAGTAGCATCACAATAATCTTTTTCAAAACAGCTTAAAACATTCTCGGTTGGAGGATGAAGAAGTAAAAACCAAAACATCTTTACCAGTCTATATTAATACCAAGTTTACTAATGAGAAAATCCAATTTTAGGTAGTGAAATCTAAGAAAGCCTGCAAGTGAAACAATAGATTCCTGACTCTATATGCACATAGTTAATTCAATGTTCATTGAAGACATTTTGACTGACACTGCTGGGTGGGAGGGAAAGAAAATTAATTAAGAGATTTCTGTGTTCAAGATGCTCACAGTTTTTTTTTGTTGTTGTTTGTTTGTTTATTTTTGAGTTGGAGTCTCGCTCTGTTGCCCAGGCTGAAGTGCAGGGGCACACTCACAGCCACCACAGCCTCAATCTACTGGGCTCAGGTGATCCTTCTGCTTCAGTCTTCCAAATAGCTGGAACTACAGGCACACGCCACCATGCCTGGCTAGTTTTTGTTGTTGTTGTTGTTGTTGTTTGATTTATTGTAGAAATGAGGTCTCACCACGTTGCCCAGGCTGGTCTCGAACCCGTGGGCTAAGGCAATTCTCTCACCTTGGCCTCCCAAAATGCTGGGATTATAGGCGTGAGCCACCATGTCCGGCCTAGATGCTCACAGCTTAATGGGAAAGACTGGCATATGAACTAGGACAACACAATGTCCTAAATTCATCTTAATTCACTTGGAAGCACCAAGCAACGTTTAGCTAAGGAAAAAAGAAGGCACTGCTTTAGCAAAAACTTGGAGAGTACACGTGAATGAAAAAAAAAAAGAAGGTACTGCTTTAAGCAAAAACTTGGAGAGTTTAGGTGAATGAAAAGGTGGGGTAAGAGAGAAGGGAATACTCCAGCAGAAGTCCTATACCTGCTAGAAAAGGGTGAATGTGCTTCTAAGAGAGTACAGGAAGATCAAGGAAGGCACATAATTCATTATGACTAGTACAGGAAGAAGCAGACCACAGACAGGCTAAAGAGGCCTTTTAAATTTTTTTTAATTTTTAATTTTTTAATTTTTAATTTTTTAATTTTTATTTTTTAGTTTTGAGCTGGAGTCTCACTCTGTCGCCCAGACTGGAGTGCAGTGGCCGCTCCCGGCCACCGCAACCTCGACCTGCTGGGCTCCAGCGATCCTTCCGCCTCAGCCTTCCAAGGAGCTGGAACTACAGGTGCGCGCTACCATGCCCGGCTAATTTTTTGATTTATTGTAGAGATGAGGTCTTGCCAAGTTGCCCAGGTGGGTCTCGAACCCGCGGGCTCAGGCAATTTACTCACCTCAGCCTCCCAAGGCGTGGGATTATAGGCTGAGCCACCGAGCCTGGCTAGGAGGCCTTTTTTTATATTCTGCACAATAGGTTGAAGAGTTTTCAGATTTCCATGTTAGTGCCTCTAATAGCAATGCAAAGAATGGTTTGAAGGGCAACCAGTTAAGCAGTTACTGCAATATAGTTGCAAAAGTGTTAAGGGTCTGAATGATGGGCCTGAAGGGAGAGGAGTTATAATCTGATGCCTTACAAATTTTTTTAATTGACGCAAAATTCACATAACATAAAATTCACCTTTTTTTTTTTTTTTTGAGTCAGTCTCACTGTCACCCAGGTTGGAGTGTAGTGGCACACTCACAGCCACTACAGCTTGATCTACTGGGCTCAGGTGATCCTTCTGCCTCAGCCTTCCAAGCAGCTGGAACCACAGTTGTGTGCCACCACACCCGGCTAATTTTTTTGATTTATTGTAGAGATGAGGTCTCGCCAAGTTTCCCAGGCTGGTCTCGAACCCCTGCGCCTGGCGTTAACATTCACCATATTAATCATATTTCCTGCTAGGCCCTTTTTCTAATTCAGTACAATAGTAAATGAATAAATATAATTTAACTGATAGAAATGGTAACTTTAAAAAAGCCTTTACTTTTTTATTAAAAAATAATAAGTGGTGGTCATTTTAGAAATTCAGATAATACCAGTATATAAGGTAAAAAGTAAAAATGTTCCCCCATCAACATTCCCAACTGCTCAGAGATAGCCACTGTTAAGGGATTGTCATGTATCCTTACGCAGGTATCTCTACACATACACTTACATATAGGGTTTGCTGTTGTTTTTAACATAAATGACTTCTAGGATATAAAATTACATATTTTTATGCACCTTGTTTTCCACATAACAGTGGCTTGGAGACCAGGTACGGTGGCTCACACCTGTAATCACAGCACTTTGGGAGGCAGAGGCAAGAGGATTGCCTGAGCCCAAGGGTTTGAAACCAGCCTGGGAAACTTGGTGAGACCTCATCTTTATAGTAAATCAAAAAATTAGCCAGGTATCGTGGCGTGTGTCTGTAGTTCCAACTACTTGAAAGGCTGAGGTGGAAGGATCACCTGAGCCCAGAAGTTTGAGGCTGTGGTGGCCATAAGCATGCCACCACACTCCACCTTGGGTGACAGACTGAGACTCAAACTCAAAAACAAACAAAAAAGCTGGGCTCGGTGGCTCAGCCTGTAATCCCGCGCTTTTGGGAGGCTGAGGTGAGTGGATTGCCTGAGCCCGCGGGTTCAAGACCGGCCTGGGCAACTTGGCAAGACCTCATCTCTATAATAAATCAAAAAAATTAGCTGGGTGTGGTAGCGCGTGCCTGTAGTTCCAGCTACTTGGAAGGCTGAGGTGGAAGGATCCCCGGAGCCCAGCAGGTCGAGGCTGCGGTGGCCAGAGGCGGCCACTGCACTCCAGTCTGGGCGACAGCGTGAGACTCCGACTCAAAAAAAAAAAAAAAAACCAAACAAACAAAAAATCCCCAAAAACTCAATGGGTTTGGACTCTCCCTAAAAAGCACATCAATTTCGAGTGTCAGTGTCTGAGACTGCTCACTTCACCATTACTTTGATAATTGTATATTACTATTTTACTTTTTGCCAATGTAACAAGTAACTTGCTAACTTGCTAGGCTATTTTTTCTTCTTATGGAATAGTTAATATACTCAGACACAGAAAATAACTTCTTTCTTAATTCAAGTCAAGTAGACAGGCATCTGAAATACTCAAATGGTATTTTTAAAGTGTGTGTACTGGTTTTGTGTATTAGAGGAAGTACAAGAAATAGTACAATCATGTACAAGGAATAATATCAGAATGACTGATCTAGGACTTTATTACTTGTTCTGCAACAGTTAACTGTGCAAATTTAGGACTCTATTTTTCTCATCTATAAAATTAGAGAGTATAAATAATTGCTAGTAATCCTTTAAAGCTCTAAGAGTATATGGCTCTAAACCGGGCTCGGTGGCTCAGCCTGTAATCCCGCGCTTTGAGAGGCTGAGGTGAGTGAATTGCCTGAGCCCGCGGGTTCGAGACCCGCCTGAGCAACTTGGCGAGCCCTCATCTCTACAATAAATCAAAAAATCAGCCGGGCGTGGTAGCGCATGCCTGTAATTCCGGCTACTCGGAAGGCTGAGGCGGAAGGATCGCCGCAGCCCGGCAGGTTGAGGCTGCGGTGGTCCAGTCTGGGCGACAGAGTGAGACTCCAACTCAAAAAAAAAAAAAGAGTATATGGCTCTAAATCACAAATGTTTCAAAACACAACGTTAAAATTCCTCTGCTTGAATCGCTTAACGGTGAGTAAAAAACACTCTCTTTCACTTCCCAAAGCCTATAAATTCCACAAGATTTTAGTTTTGTTCATTTATGTATACCCAGCTCCTAGAACAGTGCCTAGCATGCTTGATATTTGTTGAATGATTGAAAATGGTCAAGAGTTTTTACTCTGGTAAATGGCTCTGAAACAGTTATTTGGACAGAGTAATAAACCTGGCACAATTTCACTCTTCGGTCTAATTCTCACATTCTTAAAGTGAAAATGCTACAAAATAGATAGCTCTTATACATTATTCACAATACATCTGGTGACAGTAGGACTCTAAGCTATTCTACCTCCCGGACCTAAAGTCGAACTCCCCACCCCCAACACCCGATGGGGCCCACATTCAAAGAAGTGCCAAAACTCGTACTGTGTAAATTCACAGGCCTATAGAAGCCAGGCTGTCACCCACCTCACCCCACTCTCAGACTCTATATCCCCAGAAGACATGGAGTTACAGTTTCTTCTCTCACGAACCCCACAACTTCAAAAACGGAGAAACTGAAGCCATCAAAGGCACAGAACTGGCGGGGAAAAGGAGGTGGGAAAAGGTGAAAGAGACACTCTCAAACTCTAGTCACTGGGAGAAGCCCGTGTTGCTGGAAACGCGTACTCACCTCTTTCTTTCTTTGGGCAGAGGCCGAGGGAACTTCGTAAACGAGTAGCAGCGCCACCACCATGGTTGCAGATACACACCAAAACCACCAACGGGCTGCCATGTTCGCCCCTCCCCCTCCTATAAGGGAAACTTTCCTCAGGCTAGGTCTGAGGGTGGAGCGTGAGAACAGGCAAACCAGCCCCTTGCCTTTCCTCATTGGTCCTGCTCAGCCCTCCTGGGCGAACCCTCACATTACGTCACAGCGCGCTAGCACTAGACGCCCGTTAAAAGACTGTTCACTTCTAATTGGTCTCCGTTAGCCAATAGAAAAACGACAATCTGGAGGTATTTTACTGGTCCCCTAAAGCTAATGGACCGCCCTTTTCACTATACGTAAAGATCTCGCGTTTAGTTGCGCTTCAAACACATGCGCAGTTGTGAAACGTTGAGGCTATTTCAGGGTCCAAAATGGCTTGAGGTTACTAAAACGGAGTGTTTCTCTCAGAGGTTCATTTAGAAGTCTTTGAAATCCATCTTTTTTGTGTAATAATCTAGAAAAATAGGACCTAGCCACATTAGTGATAAGAGCTATCTTAGTCCGTTGTCCTGCCTCCAAAGTACTTTAATTTTTTTTTTTTGTAGTCGTAGTCTCACTGTGTCATCCAGGGTGGAGTGCGGTGGCACAATCATGGCTCACCACAGCCTTGACCTCCTGGGTGATCCTTCCGCCTCAGCCTCCCGAGTAACTGGAGCGACAGGCGTGTGCCATCATGCCCGGCTAATTTATTTATTTATTGTAGAGACGAGGGTTCGCCAATTTGCCCAGGCTAAACTCAAACCCCTGGGCTCAGGCAATCCTCTTCCTGCTGCCTCCTAAAGTGCTGGGATTATGAGCGTGAGCCACTGCCCCTGACCAAAAGTACTTTAAATTAAAACGAAAAAAAAGTAAAAGTATGAAAGCAAAAGTATACCTAATATCACTGGAGTATATTTTAAAAGTACATACAATCAAGAGCTTGTTGAATACCTCTTGTGTCATATGAACTGTGCCAGGAGCGCTGAAAAAAGCGGACATCAAAATTATTCTTAAAAGTTTTTGTAGCCGGGCTCGGTGGCTCAGCCTGTAATCCCGTGCCTTTGGGAGGCTGAGGTGATCGAATTGCCTGAGCCCGTGGGTTCGAGACCCGCCTGGGCAGCAAGACCTCATCTCTACAATAAATCAAAAAATCAGCCAGGCGTGGTAGCGCATGCCTGTAATTCCGGCTACTCGGAAGGCTGAGGTGGAAGGATCGCCGGAGCCCAGCAGGTCGAGGCTGCGGTGGTCGGGAGCGGCCACTGCACTCCAGTCTGGGCGACAGAGTGAGACTCCAACTCAAAAAAAAAAAAAAAAAAGTTTTTGTTTATTCATAGCATTTTTTTCCAGTTAAACTTACCAACAAGGACTTAAATTACAGGTTATAAACAAGACAGCAAATGGCTTCTTTTTATTTATTATTCTGTGTGGGGTATAGGTGCAAAAGTAAGGTTGCAAAGAAGCTCTTTCCCTCTTTTTAAGTATTTGTGGTCATAAAGTTTTCATCAAACATCCCATTCGCTCATCTAAAAATAATGAAAGCTGAAGAAGTTTCCATGTATTTGGCCAAGTTCTGTTTTATATTAATGAGATTTAAAAGTGGGATGATTTTTAACTATAGAATAATAATACACGCAAGAAGAAAGACACAACATAAAATCAGTCTGCCTATAATTTGGATTTATTTGGATGATATGACACAAATTTGAATATTCTTCTAGGCCGGAAGACATGGATGCGCGTAGTATTATAGTAAATGTTCAGGATCCACCTGAATGAGAACATGTGGTACTCAGTTCTTTGTTTCTGTGATAGATCGCTGAGTATGATAGACTCTAAATCCATCCAAGTTGCTGCAAAGTTCATAATTTTTTCCTCCTTTATGGCTGCGTAATATTCCATTGTGTATATATATCACATATTTTTATTTATTTATTTTTTTGAGTTGGAGTCTCACTCTGTCGCCCAGACTGGAGTGCAGTGGCCGCTCTTGGCCACCGCAGCCTCGACCTGCTGGGCTCCGGCAATCCCTCCGCCTCAGTCTTCCAAGTAGCTGGAACTACAGGTGCGCACTACCACGCCTGGCTAATTTTTGATTTATTGTAGAGATGAGGTCTCACCAAGTTGCCCAGGTGAGTCCCGAACCCACGGGCTCAGGCAATCCACTCACCTTAGCCTCCCAAGGCGTGGGATTGCAGGCTAAGCCATCGAGCCCGGCTTATCACATATTTTTAGATTTTACATGTGCCCAGTTTATTTCACTTAGCATGATATCCTCCAGGTTCATTCCTATCATCAGAAATGACAAGATTTCTTTTTTTTTTTAAAGGCTGCTAGTATTTTACTGTGTGTGTACAAATGTGTTATTTTAACTTTGTAAGTAGCAAACATGTAGACTCCAAAGTGAAAATTGTATTGTGTTCAGCAAATATCAGATATAAAATAGAAGTCCAGGGGTTCGAGACCAGCCTGGGCACCTTGGCAAGACCTCGTCTTTATAATAAATCAAAATAGCCGGACATAGTGGTGTGTGCCTGTGGTTCCAGCTACTTGGAAGGCTTAGGCGGAAGGATCCCCTGAGCCCAGCAGGTCAAGGCTGCAGTGGCCATGAGTGTGCCACTTGCACTCCAGCCTGGGCGACAGAGTGAGACTGACTCAAATGAAAATAAATAAATAAATAGAAATATTATTGGAACTATCTAAGCGTTCAAAAATAGAAGACTGATTGAATATATTATGGTACATGTACACCATGGAGCATTTTGCAGGTGTAAAAGAAGAATGAGAAAGACCTGTGTAAAATGGTAATGGATTTTATTATATATTTGTGAGAAATAGAAGGGGAAATAAGAAAATATACATGTATTTGCCCATCTTTGCAAAAGGAATCACAGAAAATATAACCCAAAAACTAACAAAGCTGGTTACCTACAGTGGAATAGTTAGGGGAAGGAATGACACTTCTTTAAGTACACCAGTACTTAAATTGTGACAGTAATGGATTTTAACCAATTGAATCCATGAATCCATACTGATAATAAATAGAGGAGAAAATAAATTTCTTTTTTTTTTTATTGTTTTGAGTCAGAGTCTCACTCTGTCGCTCAGGCTGGAGTGCAGTGGCACACTCATGGCCACCGCAGCCCCGACCTGCTGGGCTCAGGTGATCCTTCTGCCTCAACCTTCCAAGTAACTGGAACTACAGGCGCTTGCCACCACACCTGGCTAATTTTTTGATTTATTGTAAAGATGAGGTCTCACCAAGTTGCCTGGGCTGGTCTCGAACCCGTGGGCACAGGCAATCCTCTCAACTTGGCCTCCCAAAGTGCCACTATAGGTGTGAGCCACCACGCCCAGATTTTTATTTTATTTTTTTATTTTTTGAGTTGGAGTCTCACTCTGTCACCCAAGCTGGAGTGCAGTGGCACGCTCACAGCCATTGCAGCCTCAACTTGCTGGGCTCAGGCGATCCTTCCACCTCAGCCTTCCAAGTAGCTGGAACTACAGGCATGCGCCACCATGCCCAGCTAAATTATTTCTTACAGTAGAATACCCACTATTAAATATAGAAGGACTGATAGAGTTAGAAAACCATCATCTTACAATTTTCATACCAATAGTCGCTTTAGGCAAAATTAATCAATGGATTAAAAAACTTGGTTAAAGTTTGATGAAGAACGGTATATTCACGTAGTTCCAATGTGTTCTTCACAAGTTACACATTAATTACATACAGGAAAACAGTCACTGTAGTGTAGAAACCTGAAGGGCACTACTTCCACCAATGATTAAAGGTGGCATTACCAATAATGAAACAAGCTAAGATCACATGCCTCCTGATAAAAAGTCCTAAAAAGGCACAGCGGTTATGTATTATTCCTGCCAGAAGTGCATAAACAATCGATTTCTGCAGAAACATCTAATTGACACAAACTGAGGGAAAATTTAAAAAATAACTGGCCCGTACTCTTCAAAAATACTAGAGTTCTGATCTGTGGAGTAAGAAGATCCAGTGGTAGTTCTGCTACTTTCAATTGCCTGATATTCATCTTGATTTGAGTTTCATCTTGACCACTTAAGGATTCTGCATCTCACTTCCTTCATATATAAAATTGAGAGAATAAAGCATACCTGTAGTGAGAAAAAAAATTAATTGCCACGAAAGACAAAGAAAAGCTGAGAAAGTATTCACTTTTAAAGGAGACTAAAGGCACACGACAAGTACATCCAACGCAAGGATCTGGACAGAATACAGACCTTGGAACAAGTGGTGAAATTGGAATATGAGCTGTATTGTATCAATATTAAGTTTTCTGAATTTGATAACTGTACCGTGATCATGTAAGAGAATATCCTACTCTTTGAGAATTAGCCCTGAGTTATTAACAGGTAAATGTGCAAGATGTACACAGGTTATTCTCAAATGGTTCAGAACAAAACACCCAAACAAATATATGGAGAGAGGGAGAGAAAACCTGTGGCAAAATATTACCAATTGGTGTACCTAGGTAATGGGTATACAATAGCTCTACCCCCCAATATTTTAATATGAAAATATTCAAACATACAGAAAAATGGAAAGAATTGTACTGCAAACCACCACCACCATCACAATTCTACAATCAACAGCTTACTAAATTTGCCTTGTCACATATTTTCCCACATATTACAGAGATTCTTTTTTACTACTCTTGCAACGCTTCTCTAAATTAGAAGTTATTTCAAAATTAAAAGTTAAGCCGATTAGCGCGTAGTAATAGGAGACCAAAATGAAAGAAGTAAAGGAACTTTTGGGGGAACAGAAAGAAGAACGAGAGAGTTCCACGAGCAGCAAGATAGTAAATCCAAGCCTCTGGAAAGTTAACATCATTTGGAAGCTGGTGCCTTAGACGATTCCGTCTAAAATTAGTGTCTCGGCTCCCTTGTAAAGAGCCCTAAATCTAGCTTCAGGGAATTCTCTCATTCCTCATTAAATACTACCATACGCCATTTACAAAGGCATGAAACTACATTTCCCAACGGCCTTTAGCTTTCCTAGCAGGAAAGCGAAGTACAATTTCTATAGGTTTTACAGATCTCGCGAGATTTGATCAAATCTCTTCAAGGATCCCAGCCGAAAGCCATTTTGTTTTTCAGGACACTTTGCAAGGGTACCTACCTGAAGCGAATTTGCATCAAAGCAGTAGTTGGGTTGTCGCAGTTATTTCTTCAGCTTCACGATGTTTCCCTTTGCCAAAAACGCACTAAGTCGTCTCCCAGGTGAGCAAACACTGTGAACGAATCATTTACAACAGCTTTATACCTATTTGTCCTCGTGGCCTCTTGCGTCCTTTTCTTTCATGACATCCTGGCTTTCTAATTCTGAATGCTGTGTCTCCCACCTCTTCCCAAGTCTTTGGGAAAATGTCCTTAGCACTTGCTTTATCACGTACCCAGTGTTTCTGTTTCAGTTCTCGGCTCTCTTTCTGTTATTGGAGTCAAAGCTTAGCCTTGCTTTTTAATTCTTCAGTAACCTATGATTATAGAGAGGGACACTATTGGTGGATGCCTCTTGTTCGTTAAGTGATGTCCTAAATTTTAGATTTGGGGGTACATTTATTCCTAACCCCTCGTAGAAGAATCTCTTCTCCAGTTGCTGTATGAAATGGAAGGAAACTGTAAATCTAACTCTTCACCTGGTTTCTTTGCAAGGAGACAACCTACAATGTAGGTAACCATGCAGCTTTGAAGTTATCCTTGGGTTGGTGAATATTAGCTGCCCTGAAAGCAATCGTGGTCAATTTTTTCTTATCTAAAAGTTGGTCACATATAGGGAAATTTGGGGACCAGTACTGTATATTGATAGCACATTAGATTGGAGAGAGAAAATTCATTTCCATACTTGATTTGCATTGAAGGTGACCTTGAGTAACGTGGGCAGTTGTTTTACTATGAAGGTGACCTGATGTCATTTGGTTATTTAGCCATCTTTTTCTTTTCTTTTTCTTTACTTTTTTTTTGAGTTGGAGTCTCACTCTGTCACCCAGACTGGAGTGCAGTGG